TGCTTTGATTGAATATATATTGAATTCATGACATTTTTCCAACTGTGGCTGAAAACTGAAATACTGTATATAAAAAAACAGACAAAAGTAATAAAATACTGTAAATATTAGAGAAAACGCATGTAAACCAATATACAGTCAAATCTATTGGGAGTATAGGACATAGCCATATTGACCTCCTCCATCAATGCTGGCACAGAACAACACAGACCTTCCATCGTTTATATAAGGTTTGCAGAATGATGGCTAATTGAAGATTTGTGTGGAGGAGTGTCAAACCGGTGCTTCAGTGATTTCATACTGATGTTGGTAGTTTTTAATAGTTAGGAATAGATGGATTCTGTTTGGTTACCAAAACTAAAACAATGGAGTTTGGACTGCTTGAATGACATCTGTGTTAACTGTTTGGAAAAATGGTGGGGAAAATGTGTCAACCCAATGAGAAAGGGTTTACACATTTGCAAGACCGGTCCTCTGCTCTGCTGGGATAGTGATAATGAAAATGAAGAGGAACCTAGTTTCTTTAACCAGGTCAAAGCAAACTAGAAAAACTGTAATATTGGCATTTTATTTTTCAAAACAAGACTATTTGTTTTGCTTGTCTAGAAAATGCTTCTTAATATAAGAAATTTTAGATATTTAGACTAGAAATAAGACAAAAAATTTAAGCAAGAAAGCATTTTTTGCAGTGTACTAGGATGTGTACAAATAACTAAATGTTTTGAGAAATGCATTAACTGTTGTGCAAATGTAAATAGTGTTGTGAGAAATGCAGCAAAGCCACTGAGAAAAACTTTAATAGTCACTCCACATAAAAATTATAGTCCTTATTTCATTACTTGAGTCACCACATACACAAATGCTGAACTAGTTGTCAAAATATGTCAAGCAAATTTTATAAAACAAATTTAAATCTTTATTTTCTTGAAAATGTCTTTAAAATTGAACAATTTGATGAATGATTTACAGACCTGTGTATGTATAGGCTAAAACAAATAAATAAATCATGTCAAATAAAAAAATATCAGGTTTATATCTTCCAAACTTGAATTTTGTTACTGTTTTAGAGCATAGATTTCCTTAAATTTTGGCAAGCTGTTGTTTTTTCACCATAAACTTTACAGACTTTTACTTTTACAGCTGAAGAAATCACATCATCAACACACACTTCATTTGAATAAATGTTTTTTTAAACTTGTCTATTGGTTTGAAAGAGTCTGTAATTCACACAAAGATGCTTATCTACAAACCGGCATTAAGAAACGTGTCTCATCTGCTCTGAAGCCTTGCCAGCAGTATTTGCAGATCTGATCATCGATGTGATAATAAAGGAATGTAAACAGCTCAAATGGAAATGCTTTCCATTTTAGTCAGGCGTGTTTATTGTTTAAAGAAAGCGGTGGGTTTGTAAAAGATGACTAATATTCATATCCGCTGAATGTTCTCAGATCTTTACATACAAGCACAATCTGATTTCAGCTCTGAGATGTGAAAGTGGTATGTGACGCAAGAGATTTTCCAGCTGAATACGGCTTAATGACAGATGTTAAGATGCAGATGAAGGTCAAAATTATTAGAGAGAATTCATTCATTCATTGTCTTTCCGCTTAGACCATTTTTTTCAGGGGTTGCCACAGTGGAATGAACTGCCAACTATTCCAGCATTTGTTTTGTTTTTTTACACAACGAATGCCCTTTCAGCCGCAACCTAGTAATGAGAAACACACATTCACACACATACACTACAGCCAATTTAAATAATTCAATTCACCTATAGCGCATGTGTTTGGACTGTGGGGGAAACCGGAGCACCCCACACCAACACAGGGAGAACATGCAAACCACTCTGAAATGCCAACTGGCCCAGCCAAGACTCGAACCAGCGATGTTCTTGCTGTGAGGAGACAGTGCTAACCACTGAGCCACCATGCCGCCCACTAGATACAAAATACAAAAAAGAGAGATCTTAAAACAGTGGTGTCCAACTCGTTTCTGGAGGGCCGGTGTAGCTCCATCTTGCTTTAACACACCTACCAGGAGGTTTCTAGTATACCTAGTAAGAGCTTGGTTATCTGGTTCAGGTGTGCTTGGCTAGGGTTAGAGCTAGACTCTCCAGGACACCGGCCCTCCAGGACCGAGTTTGGACACCCTTGACTTAGAATGTCACTTACCTGTTCTAAAATGATTCGATCAGTTTTAAATATTAAAACTTTAGGCAATAGCCTAGTGGTTAGAGCGCAGACATATGGTGCAGTAGCACTTCAGGGTGTCCCGAGTTTGAATCCCGGCCAAGTTTTCCCATCCCTACCCCCTCTCTCTCTTCCACCTCTTCCCATCTGAAACACTGTCCTATCCACTTAATAAAGGCAAAAAGGCCAAAAATAAATCTTAAAAAAACAAACAAACTTAGGGATTCTGGGAGTAATCAGAATAGCAAAGTCCACTAAAGGAGGTCGAGCATTCTCATATATGGCTACTAATCTTTAGAATAGCCTTCCTAATAATTTCCGAGGCTCAGACACACTCTCAGTTCAAAACTAGATTAAATTTCAAGATTTTTGGTAAAGCATCACATACATGTAGGATGTGTTATACTGTGTTCACACCAGACGCGGAACGCGCGAATAAATCGCGGTATTCGCGCATAAATAGCCGCGTAAACATTTGAGTTTACTCGCTTCATACGCACGTCAAACCCCGCTTCATTCGCGTGTCAAATTCACATCAGAACAGACGCAGGGCTTCTGTCTGCCCGAAGACTAGCTTCATAGCTAAATGGCTAACATAGATTTTATGAAGAAAATAGCAGTGTTAATGTGCTTTATGAAGACTGAAAAACAGCGTAGATACGTTTAGGGTCGTGTCTGAGTCCACTACATTCTTTCAGAGGTGCATCCAGGTCTGTGAGCTCATAAACTCCTCCAGAAACTTAACCTGGATGACGGAGGCTTTCAGTGGTGCTTCTGACTGAGCCAAGCCGAGTTTGATGACTTGTTGTCGGTGAAGGCTGGAGGATTTCCCTCGGAACACCGACAACAGGTTCTACGTCACAATCACGCCCCCACAAGAGCAAGCTTCTGATTGGTTAACGCGGCGCGAATGTACGCTGAAGTTCAGATTTTTCGAAATCGAGAGATTTGCGCAAAACGCTCGTTAAGCGTCATTCACCATTCGCGCAATTTGCACCATTCGCGCAATTTGCGTCATTCGCGCAATTTGCGTCATTCGCGCCGCGCCATTCACGCGTATCGCGCTGCAGGATGTCTATTCGCGCGTTTGCATTGACTTAACATGTAAATCACTCGCGCTTGACGCGCGTGCCGCGTCTGATGTGAACGCATGAGTGTGCTCCATGCTGGTGAGTGGGCTTGACAAACCTTTGGACACACTTTTCGTGTCTAAGGCCGCATTTACACTACCAGTTAAATGTGACCAAATTCCGATTTTTTGCTCATATGTGACACAGATCTGATCTGTTCTATGACCGTGTAAACACAATAAAAACACATGGATTCGGATATTCAGAGATCGGTTTCAGGCCTCCTTCATATGTGTAAATAAATCAGATGTAGTTCGCATATGTGACAATGCGAGTGTCATGTAAACAGGCAGATCGGATTTATTGAGGCATTCCGTTCTGTACATCGTTAAACTTGCGACAATGTGGTGCTACTCCACGGTTTAATGACAGAAAGTCAGTCGCCACAGTTTGCTCCCACCAGACCTGAGATCTCTCTCGTACCCACAAATTCCTCTGAAGGTGGAGGACACCATATATAAACCATAGGCGCAAGCTGCGATGACGGCCCTTTCCCACCTTCGCCTCAAAATCATGAACTTCGTGTTGTAACTTTTGCTTTTTGTAGCTTTTAATACACGCACTGCGGCTTCACATAGAACAACTTTATTCTCTCCAACACCAGTGCACACACAGGCAAAGGCTATCTTTAACTACACACATACATCAGGGCCATACCATTACATAAACTGCGTGGGGGTAAATCTGGACTAAACCATTCACTGCTTGTACTACACTTCGCATATTTCGCAGTGCTAAAAATAAGGCAATTTCTTCCGTTGTGGCAAGTGTGGCACAGATGCTAGAACCCGCCTTTATGCTTTGTGCATGCGCGACATCGTAAATTGTCTGGCAAGTGTAAACGTATGAATTTGATATGGGTCACAATTAAAACAACGTGTAAACAGACAGGCAAACAAATCAGATATAGGCAACAAATTGGAATTGGGCATCAAGACATGACAGTGTAAACAGGGCCTTAACCCCTTTAGACCCTGTGTCAATTACAATGGACATCACATGACATCCCATTTTTCTGAAATTTGCAACATAATTCAGGTCTGAAGGGGTTTTAATGCACCAAGCATTTTGTTTCTATGTAAAACTGCAGGTTAGCTATGTTTATATAACTTATATTTGATTGTAACTTAATAAGGGTATATGCCGGAGCATGCTAATAGGACTTTTAATTTGCCAGTAACCTGGGTTAAGCGCTTCCGGTGAACTGTATGCCAATGCAAAATTTGGCGCGTTTAAGGTCTGTTTTCTTTAAAAATCAGCGATCTCCACTAGCCGAGTGATATCCGATTTAAAGTGGGTCTCAGATTTTATAAGAAGCACTGCATTAAATTACACCCCCCCGCCATGTCTTTTAATATGAGCATTTATTTTACCCCAGTATATTCAATGGAGCTTCTGCACTAGCCTGCCGATTCTGACGGGTGCATGCGAGTAAACGGCTTTTTGTCTCGTTATAGGCTTGAACAACTAAATAAATGCCAAAGTTTATTTAACTGAATGTATTTTAATGACATTACAACATTTATGCTGTAAAAGGAACCGTATAAAATGGAAAAAAGTTCCCAATAACAGGTCACCGGAAGTTTATCAGTATGGGAACAACACAAGCTCGGCATATACCCTATCTGAGTGAAATAATGTGCACCATTTGTAAATCTGCGTTAAAACAATTATTGTAAAAAGTGCTACACAAATTACTTGAATTGAATTGAATATGCTAAATAAAATGCCAGATAATAGGTGGATTTTATTTATCAAGCATTATAAGAGCTGCTGAAGCTTGTGATTAATGTTTTGGCTCTAAACAAATTCTTTTATTTGGACAGAATCCATGCATTGAGAAATTTCAGATGCATGAAAAATTGCTGTGGAAAATGTGTTGAGGGGACGTAGTGGAGGAGAAAAAAAATTGGCTGGGTGAAAAAAAAAAATGGGTGAAAGAAAAAAGTGGGTGGGAGGAAAATATATATTTCTCTCTCTCGTTCTCACATTCCCTCGCAAAAATGTTTTGCGTTCTCTCGCAAAGATGTTTTGCGTTCCCTCGCAAAAACTGTTTCTCCACAAACACTTCCTGTTCACTTCACTCACGTAAACCCTCCCGTTTTTGCCAAAATTCTCCCGTATTTTACCATTCTATCCCACTTTCTTTACATTAATACTGTGCGTCGATCGTCGCCTTTCATATGCAACCTCTGAACCAGTGAATGCATGTATAAGCTCTGACTGACAGACTCGCTCCGTACAATAAATTGATCCCAGATCAGCGTCTGTACGCGCCATTTACAGAGGAGCAAAGAGGAGCGGGTGTATGTTTAAACTGACAAATACACTGAATAATATGTAAACATCTCCGTCCTGCATGTTTTATTGTAAACAGCTTTTTTTCTCTAACATGAGCACAAACAGTTTCTAAAGTAATGGACTGCTTTCATTATTGATCTGTGCATTATTCTTACAGAGACACCTCTGTTATCAAACTAAACAAAACATGAGATTCATTTGCTGCTCACTTGTTTGATAACAGGTGTCACTTTAAATGGCGTGTACAGACGCTGATCTGGGATCAGTATATTGTGTGGAGCACGTTTGTCAGTCAGTGCTTAAACATGCATTCACTGGTTCAGAGGTTGCATATGAAGGCGACAATCGATGCACAGTATTATTGTAAAGAAAGTGGGATATAATGGTAAAATACGGGAAAATTTCGACAAAACAGGAGGGTTTACATGAGTGAAGTAAACAGGAAGTGTTTGTGGAGAAACAGTTTTGCGAGGGAACGCAAAACACCTTTGCAAGGGAACGCAAAAACTTAGAAATATATATTTTCCTCTCAACAAACGTCCCTTCCGGGGTTCTGTAGTACGGTGACGATGTGAGACAGATGTTCAACAAAAGTGAGCAGAATTGATTGTAGCATATAAAAGATTTATTTAAAAAAACATTAATAACTCTCCTGCAGTGAAACGATGACAAGAAACACAGAAAAGCATGATGATTCCATTAGTATACAATTAAAACAATCAGTGTAAAGACAGTGAGTGTAGTGTAGAAGACACATCATTTCAGTTCGTGTCTGGGTTTAACTATTAACAGTGACAAATATAGAACTCAGAATATGAAAATAATTACAAAACAATCATTCTCCAAGACACAAATGAATCTATACTGTATATGTGCGGTTTTCTGACAGGTCTTTTGGCAGAGGCAGAGATGTTAATCAGAGTATCAATGTCTTCTACAGTTTGTTGTTCTCTTGCTTCTTTTTCTCGATGAACATGATGAGTTTTTTAACCCAGTGTGTTCTGGGGTTCAGGCAGATCCTCTCGCCACTGGTCAAACCGGCACTGAAAGATTACAATAAAACATACAGGTTAGACTTCAAAATAAAATAATAATAATAAATAATTAATATTTTATTGACCAAGGGTGGATTACACAACTCCAAAGAGCTCCAGAATGATTTGTGAATGATTATGTGACTCTAAAAATGCAAAAAGAAATGATGTTGAAAACAGACACAGACAGAGAGATGGACAGACAGACAGACAGATAGATAGACAGACAGATAGACAGATAGATAGATAGATAGATAGATAGATAGATAGATAGAGATAGATAGATAGATAGATAGATAGATAGATAGATAGATATAGATAGATAGATAGATAGATAGATAGATAGATAGATAGATAGATAGATAGATAGATAGATAGATAGATAGATAGGTCGAACGATATAAACAGACAGACAGACAGACAGACAGATAGATAGACAGACAGACAGACAGACAGACAGACAGACAGACAGACAGACAGACAGACAGACAGACAGACAGATAGATAGATAGATAGATAGATAGATAGATAGATAGATAGATAGATAGATAGATAGATAGATAGATAGATAGATAGATAGATAGATAGATAGATAGATAGATAGATAGATAGATAGATAGATAGATAGATAGATAGATAGATAGATAGATAGTGTATATGATAGTCTAGCAGGGGTCACCAACCTTTTGGAAACTGAGAGCTAGTTCTTGGGTACCGATTAGTGTGAAGGGCTACCAGTTATTAAAAAACACATTTTTTTAAATTTACTTTTAATTTTATGTTATTATTAATAATTAATAATATTCATCTATGTGAAGATATTGATCATGTTAATGATTTCTCACAGTAGTTGTCAACAATGATTTAACAAGTTAGATTAATATCAACATGCAACACTTCATTTGTCTGAAATTGTTTTTAAAGTTTTTTTAAATATTGAACTTAAAGTAATTTTCAAATTTACACCAATGCAGGTGTAATTTAAAAAGAATACCTATAAAAATATTAGATGCAGCTTACTCATTTGTGGTGCTATAGTGAGCTATTTTTAGAACAGGCCCGCGGGCAACTCATGTGAACCTGGCGGGCTACCTGGTGCCCACGGGTACCATGTTGGTGACCCCTGGTCTACAGTTTGTTTTTATGACTTCACTCCTCAGACATCTACTGATGATGAGTAACAGAGTTCTGCATTCCTCCAGAAACACTCACATGACCTCGGTGGTCTTGCAGTGAGGGCCCCGGGGCAGGATGACCACTCGCCGCAGGTTATCCTGAGGGATGACCCGAGACTCCAGCTTCAGACACACACAGCGGCTGTTGTAGCCTGCACCGAGAGGCTGCACCGCTGAAAACACACACACACAGCTTTAACTAACAGGATTTACACAGTAAGGAGTGAGTAACAGCTTCCAGGAAATAAAGACATTAATCATCACAGCTGGACAGAAGATACAGAATCCACACTGACACACATGTGCTGCTCACTGAAACTCACACTCAATTACACTGTATATGATGATGATACATACAGTATACATGCATTATATCTGTCTGTAATATACAGTATATCTTTACCCATCCATCCATCCATCCATCCATCCATTCATCCACCCATCTACTGTAACCATCCATTTATCCATCCATCCATCCATCCATCCATCCATCCATCCATCCATCCATCCATCCATCCATCCATCCATCCATCATATCCATTCATTCACTGTATGCATCCATCCACTCATCCATCTATCTATGTACAGTATCCATCCATCCATCCATCCATCCATCCATTCATCCATTCATCCATCCTTCTACTGTAACCATGCATGCATCCATCCATCCATCCATCCATCCATCCACGATATCAATCCATCCATTCATCCATTTATCTACAGCATCCATCCATCTATCCATTCATCCATCTACAGCCTCCATCCATCCTTTGTATCCATCCACCCATTCATTCATTTATCTCCAGCCTCCATCCATCAACTGTATCCATTCATCCAGCCATCCATCTCAGTACAGCATCCATCCATCCATCCATCCATCCATCCATCCATCCATTCATCCATCCATTCATTCATCCATCCATCCATTCATCCATCCACGGTAACAATCCATCCATTCATCTACAGCATCCATCCATCCACACATTCATTTATTCATCTACAGCATTCATCCATCTACTGTATCCATTCATTCATCCATCTCTCTACAGCATCCATCCATCCACTCATTCATCTCTCTTTCTAGAGCATCCATCCTTCCATTCATTCATCCATCCATCAATTTACAGTATCCATCCATTCACCCATCCTCCACCCACTGTACTCATTTATGTATTCATCCATCTATCTACAGTATCCATATATCCACTGTATGCATTCATCCACTCATCCATCTATCTACAGCATCCATCCATCCATCCATCCATCCATCCATCCATCCATTCTTCTACTGTAACCATCCATTCATCTATCTATCTACAGCATCCATCCATCCATCCATCCATCCATCCATCCATCCATCCATCCATCCATCCATCCATCCATCCATCCACGGTAACAATCCATCCATCCATTCATCCATCCATCCATCCATCCATCCATCCATCATCAACGGTAACAATTCATCCATTCATCTACAGCATCCATCCATCCATCCATCCATCCATCCATCCATCCATCCATCCATCCATCCATCCATCCATCCATCCATCCACACATTCATTCATTCATCTACAGCATCCATCCATCTACTGTATCCATTCATCCATCCATCTTTCTACAGCATCCATCCATCCATCCATCCATCCATCCATCCATCCATCCATCCATCCATCCATCCATCCATCCATCCATCCATCTATCTATCTATCTATCTATCTATCTATCTATCTATCTATCTAGAGCTATTTATTAAAACAATGTTCAATGTTGAGTATTTGTCTCACTGGAGAAAATGTAACTGCTTTTAATGAACTATAAACCACACACACACACATACACACACACACACACACACACACACACACACACACACACACACACACACACACACACACACACACACACACACACACACACACATATTAAAAAATGAAGCTTACCACCAGCCACCAGAGTGATGCTGACTCCAAAAACAACACTTAACATCAGCAGGACGTTCATGATGGCTGAAGATTCTCTAGTGGATTCTCTGTAGAAATGCACAAGATCAGATGCTAAAATTCGGCCACTGATCTTCAATGTGGCTTTATATACTATTCCTCCAAAGGCCTTGTGATCTTTAAAAGCGTGATTTGATTTCACTTCCTCCCAGCCGTGGTGTGTGTGTTTGT